TTGACTGAAATCTTGGTAGCAGAAAGTGGTCAATTTGAAGAGAATTGCAACGTTCACTTGGATTGCGAGACCTTCAATTGGACACATACCTAAATAAAAGCAAAATCACTTAACATTATTTTTAAATTATTTTTTATTTTTTCCGAATTTTTTTTAAAAAAATTTTCGTATATGACCGGCGACCGGCTGACGCCGGCGAGGCTAAGCGGCCTCGCCATGGCCGCCGGTCCGGCGACCGGCTGATCTGGGCGAGGCCGAGCGGCCTGGCCATGGCCGCCGGTCGACCTCGCCGTCGCCAGCTGGGCGATGTCGAGAGTCGACGGCGGCCCGGCGAGCCACTCGGCCTCGCCTAGATCGAGGAGGCCGGCGGCTGGCCATGGCCGCCGGTCGACCTCGCCGTTTCCCAGCGGGTGACGGCGAGGTCGACCGCGGCCATGGCCGGGCCGCGCGGCCTCGCCGGCCATGGGTCGAGGCCGCCATGGTGGCGAGGTCGACCGGCGGCCTCGCCCGGGTGTGTCCGTCGCAAATTGGTGGCCGTCGCCGATCCGGCGACCGGCCACCAATTTACAACAAAAACAGAATAAAAAAGTCAATAAAAGAATTTCGCATCAAGCGATAAATAGAAAGGACAGGACCGTATTAGTCGCATGTTTAGTCACGAAATTAGCTACGATACTTACCGGTGGAAAAGCTTTACCGAGATTGATTTCTGCGCGCACAGCTTGTTGAGAGAAACGAAAGAGGGAGAAGGCAGGAGAAAAGCGGGTGACGTGACAAATTACTACTGAAAGAGAGAAATTGACGGGTGGGGTGCATAAAATGAAATTAATTTTCCGTCACAAATTAGCGACGAATCCATTTTCATCGCAAAATCCGTCGCAATTGCGACGGATATAATATTCGTCGCTACTTTCGTCGCACAAAATTGCGACGGAAAATCAATCCGTCGCAAAATTCGTTGCACATTTGCGACGGAAAATTAGTCGTCGCTAATTTGCGATGGAATTAGCGACGACTAACATTCTGTCGTAATTTTGCGACGAAAGTAGCGACGGAAAATAATTTCGTCGCAAATTAGTAACGGAATTATTTTCCGTCGCAAATTTGCGACGGATTATTTTCGTTGCTAATTTGCGACGGATTTAGAAATCCGTCGCAAAGTTTGTCGCAAATTAGCGACGAAAAATTCCCCGTCGCAAAAATCATGTTTTTTTGTAGTGTCAAAGTTGACAAGGAACGAGGTAAAATGCTAAAGCGAAGGACTGAGGGACGGGACGGTGAGGGATGGTGGGAAGCTCCCATGGAAGAGCTCAACTCGGAAGAGCTCAAGCAGATGAAGGCGCGAATGTTGGAGCTTCAGCAGAATTTGCGGAGTTCAATCACTCTGAGGAATCAAGCGGAGACTTAAATTTGAGAAACGATCCATCAGCAACCATTGCACATGAGGATACTACTCCCAGTCATGACAATAATAACAGACAAATCTAACTAACTATTACAATTCATTTTCATGTGTACTTATATATTTGTATCTTACCTCGATAAGAGGTTATTGTATGCTTTTACTCCATGTTTCATATTACTACTCCATATTTCGAGCCATATATGATAATAAGGGTTAATACCATCAAAAATCCCAAACTGGTACACCTATGACAAATTTACCTTAAACTAATTTTTTGATTACAAAAAACCCTAAAATGGTACACCCGTAATAAATTTACCCTCTGTTGATTTTCGTTAAATTTTACAGTCAAATTGCTGAATTAGATGACATGTGGTAGTTGACGGGTGTAACAGTTTGGGGTTTACTCCTCCATTTGTCACAAGTTTGCCAAATGTGATTTTTCGTGGTATTAATCCAATTTAATGGAAGGTAAATTTGTAACAGCTATGCCAATTTGAGGTTTTTGGTGGTCAAAAAATTAGTTCGGGGTAAATTTATCACAAGTGTACCAATTTGGGGTTTTTTGTGGTATTAACCCCAACAAGAATGGACAAGTTTAGGGGAATATGGCGATTTGTTTTCTTGTGTACTTAGACTTTTGATTTGTATTTTATATATGATAGATATTACGGATAATATTACAACATATTTCACATGTACCTTTAAGACATTTTCCTATGCTGATAGTTTCAAGTTCCTCAAGCAGGGGTTTTTTTTTTTTTGGTAAAAACTTAGGTAAAGTTTGAACGTTTATTTTCTTGGAAAATTTTACCACACGAAATTTTTTTTTTGTCAAAGACAAGTGGAGTGCAACTCTTTGGATTTATTCTGCTTATTTAGGGCCAGGTTATTTTGCGGAAAAAGAATGATTTGTAAAACATTTTCAAAAAATAGATTGGTTATATTCCTTAAAGAATTAGTTAACAAAAAAAGTTTTCACCGTCTATCACAGTTTATGCTTAAACAGTTTCAAAGATGATAGAAATGCATTTCGTTTATTCATTTTTATAAGTAATACAATGATCATTTTTTGGAATATGTTTCCAAATCATCGTAAAACATACGCACAATTAGATTCCATTTGTTTCACGAAAAATGAACGATTTGGAAAACATTTTTCTAAAAATGATCGTTGTATCATATGCAAAATAAATGAACGAAAAATATTTCTATCGTCTACGAAAATATTTAGACATAAATTGTTGTAGATAATGAAAAAGAATTCCGTTTACTAAATATTTCAACTTATATAATTAATCATTTTTAGGAAAATATTTTCCAAATAATTCATTTCCGCGAAACAAATAGAGTCTTAGGGTGTGTTGGTTTTGCGGAAAATGTATCATTTCTGGAAAATACTTTCTAGGAAGTCATTTTCCAGGAAAATGACTTCATTTTTTTGTGTTTGGCTTAAACCTAAAAAAGACTTAGAAAGTATTTTCACTTTTTTGATGAGAAAAATATGATGATGAAAATTATTTAAAAAGTATATTTTTTAAAAATATTTTTTCTTTTTTTATTTTTCCTTCTTCTTCCTCCCATTAGCTCCTCCACCTCACCTGCCGCTCCTTCCTCTTCTGCACCACCACCACTGCAGCCATCTCCGATGACCTCGATTGCCACTGCACCGACTCCGTCCACCTCGGCTGCGATCTCGAGCGAGTTTGAGCTCGTCAGGATTTGGCGAGGCCTAAGGTGAGCTCGCCTTGCCCGATTTACCTCGAGCTCAAGCTGAGGCTGGCGAGCTCGTGGCTTGCCAAATCCAAGCAAGCCCAGACTTGGCCGAGGCCGGCAAGCTCATGGCTTACCTGGATCTGGCGAGCCACTAGCTTGCCGGCCTTGGTGAACCTTGGGCTCGCCTGGATCGGTCAAGCCTCAAGTTCGCTGGGCTGTGTGTTGCCGGTTGCCAGTCGTCATCGAGGCGTGCGGCCGACGGAGGAAGGAGGAAGGAAAAGAAAGAAAAGAGAAATGAAAAAAAGAAAAAGAAAGAAGAAAAAAGAAAAGAAAAGAAAAGGAAAGAAAAAAGAAAAAGAGAATAAAATATTAAAAATAATAAAAAGTTATATTTTTAAAATAAAAAATATTTTAAAATTAAATTTTAAAAAAAATATTTTTATAAGTATAATTTCATTAATCAAGGACCTGTTTACGGTCTTTGTGAACTCGACTAGAGCTTGAGCATGGAAGATCGAGCACGGCTTTTGTGGACCCGAGTTTGGGTGTCGGAGCATTAGGTATGGGCACGAGGGGTTCGGGCCCAGCCTTGATGGTTCTGGATGTAGGCTGGTAAGCAATTTTGAAAAGTGTTTTCACCTTTTTAGATTAAGGAATTCATTTTTCTTAATTTTATATATGAATGTTTTCCTTGACCAGAAGCGTTTTCAGTTGACTTATCATTTTTGACAAATCAAGCATGTGAAAGTCTAGAAAATGGATTCTCAGAAAATACTTTTTTTTCAAACAAACGCACCCTTACGCATGCATGTTATCCTATCCTTGGCAAACCATTGTTCGGAATAAAAAGGGAGCTTGATTTCCCATGGGCCTCCACTATTTTATGGGCCTGTGCAAAATGAATGTAGTTAAACTGGAGTAGTGGGCTCTTTTGATGGGCTAGGCTTGGGCTATTAATCCAAGGGGTTTTGCGGTGAGACACTTTTTAATTAACATAAGTCAAATTAGTGTACTATAGTGTTTTAAGACACAACCGTTCCAAAGACAAATTTCTCAAACTACTCTCGTGCCTCCGTTAAATTTGTCACATGCTTTATTAGTCTAATTATGAGTTAAGCATGTATCAAGACATGAAACACCATCTATAATCTCTTCTCCATAGAAGATACCAATCAAACTTGTCCATCCGTACTATCATATCTCGAGGGGAAATTCAGAGTAGTACTATCATGTGAATTTGTCGCAAAGAGATTATTTATCTAACTCCAACTCCGTCCTTGAAAGGATGTGGATGCCTCTCCTCGAGTCCGTTAATTGGTCGACCCCCACAAGCTCCGTTGAAGGCCCTCCATTTATAACTCACTTTGTTTTTATATTCTATTATAGAGTCCTATTGACGTATTTGGCCATAAAAAAAAATCCCAAACTAGAAGTATAAAGTAGTCCTTACAATTAGTCGTAATCTTCAAATCTTAATTTCCAAACTAAGATTTTTACGCAATTTGTGCTTCCAATGTAGCTTATGTTTTAAATGTCTTACTCAAAATACAAATTTCAATTTGTCTCTTCCATTATAAAATACTCATTCATAGAGATCATTTTTGAAAGGCAAATATGGTGAGAAATATGGAGTTGAGTCTTAAAATTGTGAAAACATATATTTTTGCACAAAGTGGAAAACCAGCCTATCCATTGAACAACTCTTACTTTTTCTGCAAAATATATTTTGGAAGGTGACAACTCGAAGAGATTATCCCAAAACATTGCATTCTAGATTTGGCATCACAATCTCCTTATATATAGGTGCGTTCTTTACATTGTCCTCACACTGAATTTGACATTACTATCATTACTAGATCATCTTGTACTGTCTTTAATCATGGCAGGAAGAAGGACAAGAGGTCGGAGAATTGAGATGAGACAAGTTGAAAATAAGGAAGATAAGCTCATTACGTTCTCTAAACGTAGATCTGGTATCTACAAAAAAGTAAGCGAGCTTGTAACCCTTTGTGGTTCGGAGGTGGGAGTAGCAATATTCTCTCCTACCGGAAAACCCTACTCTTTTGCTCATCCATCAGTTGACTCGATTGGAAATCGATTCCTCAACCGAAACCATCCGCAAAATGATGGTGCCCACACCTTGGTGGAGTCCTACCGTCGACTCCGAATTAATGAGCTCAATCAACAACACGAAGAGCTCGTTGATCAAGTCAAAGCTGACAGGGCGCAAGGTAAAATGCTGAAGCGAGTGACTGAAGGACGGTACGGTGAGGGGTGGTGGGAAGCTCCCATGGAAGAGCTCAGAGCTCAAGCAAATGAAGGCACGAATGTTGGAGCTTCGGCGGAATTTGCGGAGTTCGATAAGTCAAAGGAATCGCGGAGCTACATCGATCGAAGGAGAAAGTTCAAATCAGAGAAACAATACTAGTGGACAAGCTTGAATAACTGTAACGACTCTTCTTCATGTGTACTTATTTAGCCTTTTCAGTTGTTTATTACATTAAAAAGATGCTACGGATGATTTTACTACGTATTTGATGTACTGGAACATGATATTACTACTACAAATTTCCAGCCCAGACATGACAACAAGAATGGGAGATTTGTTTTCTTGAGTACTTGTTTTGTCATTTTGATTTGTGTTTATATATGATGAGAGATTATCGATAACATTACTACAAATTTCGCGTGTACCTTTAAGACAATTTCAGAGGCTGACTTACAAGCCAGAATAGACATGTATAGCATGTGCCAAGTTTCACATGTTAGCGAGTGCAATTCTTTAAAATTTGTCTCATCCACAGGTTTGAACGTTTGTTTTCTTGGAAAAACCTGGATACATCTGGATAAAATGCCGGATAAAAAATCTAGCCTAAGGGGTGGGATAAATCAGGATTGAATATAAAATTTAAACAATAATTAAATAATTCATATTTTATCTTTTAATGGAATGATAAAGTGACACATTGAATATTGCTTTGCCGGCACTGTCCGCTCGAGGACCACCACCAAAATTACCGATCATAGTCACTTCCTACCATCACATGATCACTATCGCCTCCGACCACGCTGGCCATCACCGTCGATAGCAATTGTGTTCCGACGAGTGAGGGTAAAAAGGGGTCTAAAGACGATTGTCATGCTGGATTTGTATAGACCATCCTTTCCACCCTAACAGTTGATAGTGGTTCTATAAAATCTCACATAGTATTGGAGCAAGCCGTCTTGAGTTCAAATCTTCCCAAGTCCCATTTGCCTCCCCAATTAAATGAGTCCACGCTTAGTACTAGGCAAAAAACACGAGATTAAATGTGACGGGGAGTGATAAAATATTTAAATATCAAACTTCACTTTCATCTAATAGCTTAAGCTTTTAGAACAATTAATAGTGGTCCACAAAATCTCACATCGCAACATTTCACGCATGAGTCACGAGCCGACGATTCACCTTATGGTCAATGAAGAATAGCCAGCACACCATCAGCTTCTTGGTGACCACGCTCTCAAGCGACCACGCTCTCAAGCATGGAGTTACACTTGCTATGCATCAAGAGCGTTGTAATGGCACTATGGTGTAGAACCTCCTTTGGCAGGCCCATCCCAAGACGCACACCTTCTCCACTTTTGCAATGGAGTCTACCCATACAACCCACATGAAGTGCCTCCCACTGTTCACAAGGCCATCCCAAAATTACATGAACTCGTGTCAGTTGAGAGACGTCATGCTCTCGAGGTCGACTTCCCAGAGACGTCGTTGAGAGGATTTGAGTCTCACGTACAAGAGGAACAAAGTCAGAGATGGGATTTTCAAAGATTTTTAAAGATTTTCAAATGATAAGGATTTTCAATCTTATCTTAGGTTATAGAATTTCGAAAATTTATAAAGATTTTGTTCAAAGATTTCAAATCATATCGTAGGTTGCGCAAAACATATGATCGGATATTTTTGTAATCCGGGGATATGTGGAGAATTTCAAATCCCCATTCGTCCTATCCTATCCCAATTTGAATCTGGACGAGCAAACACAGCCTTAAGTCATTTTTAGAGGCTAACTTACAAGTCAGAATAGACTTGTATAGCATGTGTCAAGTTTCAAACGTTAGTGAATGCAATTCTCCAAAATTTGTCTCATCCACAGGTTTTTTTTTTTGGTCGAAACAAGATCATTTCATTTCATCAAGATGAGCTTCAACACATACAAGATTCCAAAGGGTTTCGAAAGGGTTAAAGACCCAATTATAGAGCAAAGATTTGCACCTTTGAGTCTTAACAATTCAGTCTGCCACTTGATTTTCTTCCTTATTACAGTAGGCTAAAAGCACATTAGGTAAATGGGCTAGCAGAAGTTTGCATTTAGTAATAAGTTGAGTGGCTTCCCATGAAGAAATATCTAAGCCTAAAAGACAATTAACCAAAGTCAAGTTGTCAGATTGTAGCAGGTACTTCACTTTGTCTTCTTCCCTCTGTGCATGAAGTAGCTTCAGAGTTTCAAGGCAAGCAAGGATTTTGACATTGATAGCTGAACTTGCCCTCATCAATTTAGCGAATCCATCCACAATCTTCCCCGAGAAGTCACGGCAAATACCAGCTATGGAGCCTTCCGTTGAACCTGCAGTGTATGATCCGTTGATATTCCACTAGATAGTCTTTTTCTTCGGCGGTCGCCACAATTCGAGTGAGTGGCTATCTTTTGAGTTGGTATTCTTCTTCGGCTTAGTCCATCGGCAGATATTCTGGTACATGGCCATTGCAGAGCTCACTAGGTGCTGCAGATTTGGGGATTGACTTCGAAAAATGAAGTTGTTCCTCCATTTCCATATATATCAGAGAACCACCGCCATCAAATCAAAGGAAATTGAGGTACTTTTAAAATTTAGTAGCCACTCTTCAATTCTCATAAGTCCTTGACTGGAGATCTAAATATGCAGGGTTGGGTTCAACCACACCTGATTTGTCCATGGGCAAAGTAGGAATAAATGCTCGGTTGTCTCCACATGTTGGTTACATAGACTGCAGGTAGGTTCTTGAACAATACTCCTTTTAAACAAATTTTCCTTGGTAGGCAAAGCATTTTAGCATATTCCCCACAAGAAAAATATGATTTTTGGAATAGTTTTTGCCTGCTAAATCCTTGTCCATAGTTTTCGAGGGGTCTGATACAAGGTGGACGTTGAAGTTGCGATCTGTTTCTCAATTTCTCCCCTTAGTTTGTTGTACCTACTCTTAACTGTATAGGCACCTGATCTAGTGCTGTTCCAAACCAACTTATCCTCCATTAGTTGAAACCTCAGCGGAATTGAAAGGATTTCATTGGAGGTTTGTTCATCAAATAGAGCATGTAGGGTCTGTGTATTCCACGTTGAATATTGCTTTTGTATCATATCAGCTACCTTCTCTGGCTTTCCTCTGTTTGATGGTCCCCCTATCATTCCTCTGGGTAGCCATTTATCCTTTATAATTCTTATCTTTTCCCCATTTCCAACTGACCACATAACGGAGGGAAGAATAGCATCTCTGCCCATTAGGAGGCTTTGCCACCCCCAAAATGGCCGTGTCCCCTTACCAGCATGTTTGAAATTACAATGAGGGAAGTAGAGTCCTTTAAGTACCTAACTCCATAAAGATGTTGGGTTATGAATCAATCTTGAGGCTTGTCTCCCCAACATAGCCTTATTAAAAGTGATGAGGTCTCTAAAGTCCAGTCCTCGATTATCCTTTCTAAGTTTTAGCACATCCCATTTTCTCCAATGCAACTCTGATTTGCTTCCCCCATTTCTCCACAAAAAACAAAAATTTTCTGCTCAATAGCACGACAAATGGAGATAGGAACTTTAAAGATAGACATAGCGTACTGTGGGAGAACTTGAACCACTGCTTTAATGAGGATTTTTTTTCCTGCTTTGGATATCAACTTTTCTTTCCAGCTTTCTAGCTTCATATTGACTCTTGCCATAATCTACGCAAACATTTGCTTCTTTGACTCACCCCAATAAGAAGGAATTCCCAAATACTTGCCAGTTTTCTCTATAATCGACACCTGCATCTCCGCGGCCATATTCTGTCTCAATCTCTGTGTCCAATCTTTACTAACGAACAACCCAGATTTATTCAAATTAATGGCTTGACACGAGGCATAACAGTATTGATTCAAGATTGCAGCTACACTTTGGCACTCATTAATTGTTCCATACCAAAAAAAGATTGAGTCATCCGCACAAAGTAAGTGGGTCAAAGTTGGGCATGATCTATTTAATTGAATTCCTTTGATAATCCCATTCTCTAGTGCATTTTTCATCATAAAGGATAATGCATTCGCCACAATGATAAATAAATATGGAAAACGTGGGTCACCTTGGCAGAGACCTCTTGAGGGATGAAAATAGGGCAGTGGCTCTCCGTTCAACTTTACACTAAATGACACAGTTGTGATGCATTGCATAACCCATCTAACCCATTGAGCACTAAATCCCAATCTTAGCAAGCAAGCTTCCATAAAATCCCATTCTACTCTGTCATATGCCTTTTTCATATCAAGTTTAAGGACAGCCTGAAACTTCTTCTTTCTCTTTCTAATTTGGAGCTGATGTAGTACTTCCTGGACAATTAAAATATCATCTTGGATATGTCTTCCACTTACAAATGCACTCTGCTCCATCGAGATTAAGTCTGGCATCCATGGTTTCAGTCTATTCGCCAAGTCTTTTGAGATGATTTTATAAGCAAAGTTACATAAGCTGATAGGGCGGTATTGTTCCACCTTCTCCGGATTAGGGATCTTTGGGATAAGTGATATATGTGTTCTATTTAGCTCTAGGTTGAGAAACCCAGAGTTTAGAAAGCTCTATACTTCTTTGAACACCCTTTGCTTTAGATCTTCCCAGTGATGATGGTAGAACTTCCCATGTAGTCCATCAGGCCTCAGTGCTTTAGTGGCACCCAGTTGATGAGCAGCTTCTGTTACTTCCTTCATTGTCAGTTCTACAGTTAAGACTTAGTTTCTCCCACTAAGTTAGGAACAAACTCCATTATAGGTTCAAAATGTCAAGACCCCTCAGAACTGTACAAAGTTATGAAGAAATCCATTGTCTGCTGCTTTAATTAACCTAAGTCTCGGATCCAAACCCCTTTATGAGTTTCTCAACATTGAGATCTTGTTTTGTTGCCTTCTCTGTGTTGTAGTGGCATGAAAATATTTTGTATTTTTATCCCCCCCACTTTAGCTAGTTAATTTTCGATTGCAAACCTCAGTACATCTCCTCCTGTCTCCATATCTTCTTTATTTCCTTTTTTAGGTACCGCACTCTCTCTCCATCAATGAGGATTGTTTTGCTATTAGTAAGTTCATGAATTTCTTTCTTCATGGTCCTGATACCCTTTTTTGCATTTGAGAATTTCCTCCTGCTCCACTCTTGTAGAGCTATTGAAAC